TTTTCTTTGCTAGTACAATAGTTTGATAATTGCCTTCATTACTTAAATTGCTTTGATCGAAAACTTTTTATAGTATGAAATCTAAATGCCACACAGTTTCCTTGTAAAAAGTGCATTAAGAATTTTGTTATTCAGACTGTCTAGTCTTGTAATGTACATTTTGTTGCTTAGGCATGAAATTATCCAAGGGTAAAATAAAATTTTTTATATTGCGCACAAGAATTTCCTAATAGATGTTGGCTGTTACGTACTGCATGTCCAATGCATGATTTATCTGAAAGTGTTGTATTTGACAAATTTCCTAAAACTTTCTCGAGGCAGGATCAATAAAAAATAAGATTCAGTAGTACGAGCGTGTGTATTGTTGTGCAGGTAGAACACCCGGGTTGATATATTTGTGTTCATGTGTACATTATGAAATTACAATTATCCTCATGGAAACAGACGGTTCTGAACCTTAGGCTAAAATTGAACTGACATCGAACTTTCTTGCAGAAACAGTCTATTTCTGTGAATTTGCAAATTGTTTTTCGTTCATTTGTTGTTATCACTGAACAAGAATCGGAAAACGAGATTTTAGTTTAGGTTTACAAAAAGCAGCACCGATATCGATCTATCATATGAATCATACTATTGCGATGTTTATAGTGACCATTTTTATGCATTTTTTATTTGAAAGAAGCAGTCGAATGCAAGTAACATTAAAAGCAAATCAAGAGGAGGGCAATGCATATAATAGTTTCTAGTCAGGAAAAAATTCTGCAGAATAGGTAATTTCGTGAATATGAGGTCAGTTATCAAGTAATTAAATTTTATATGCATTGACAATGAACGTTACATGTTGATCACAGGTGATATCTGTTATCGACAATTTCTTGCATCACACTCTGGGTATATGGCATGTTGAAAAGTTATGAATATATGTACCAAAACGGTTATATGTGTACAAAATATTCTAAGTAACCTACTATGGGACGGTTTCGTACCGAATGGGCATCTTTCGCTAACACTCTTCAAGGAAATGGAGGCAATAATTTCGCTTTTGGAAGTCGGAGGTCAAATTTCATGGCTTTTCATAAAGAAATATGCTTTATATTACAGTTCTGCTAAACATAAGCACAATCAAGTTCAAAAAACAGTTTTTTAAGATGCCGAATCAGTTAGTTGATCGAGGTGGAATTGCCAGGCAACCGTGTCGGTATTTTTGCCTCACGCATAGTGCAATGCGTTCTTTCGATAAGACTGCTTTGCAGCGACATGTAGCCCACAACTCCCATGGTTACACGTATCTCAGGTCGCATATAGTCGAGTGGTTAACCTGTTTTACTAATGTTAGTTGTCTGCAGTTTGTTTATTAGCTTAGGAGCAACGAAAATGTGAGGTCATTATCCATATTCATTCTCCTGTTGGTGTTGTACACGGATGGAAACGTTTAGTATAGCCTAGACAATAAAGTTGGCAGTGCATAAGATGTCGAGATGAAACGGTTGCCTTTTGTAGACAACCTTGTTTTGTCGGCATCTTCTGACACTGATCGGTCGCTGGAAAGGTTCGCAACGGATGCGAGGAAGCCGACATATGTGTGAATGCATGTAGAACGAAAATCTGAATGTTTTTTTTCGTTCACCTACCCATTGCTTCCTTCAAATAAATGGAGAAAAAGTAGAGAAGGTGAACAAGTTCAAGTAGTTCGGAATCATGTTTACTGGTGATGAAATATTTGAGATCGATCGGCGGATTGAAATAACCAGTAGCATTCTGCGTTCAGCACGAGCTGTTGTAATTACAGCAGAGCTGAGTCTGAAGACTAAACACTCGGTATTTAAGTCTATTATTATCCCCACGCTTACCTACGGTCATGAGACATGGATCATGGTTGAAAAACTTTAAACACGGGTACAGGCTGCTCAAATGGGCGTTCTGCGACAAGTGGCTGGCCTTACGCGTCTCGACATGGTCAGGACTACAGAAATCTGCAAGAACCTTGGTTTACAGCTGCTTCTTCTTTAGACTGAGAAGTCACAGGTGCGACAGTTTGGATATATGTTGCTAATGCCGTCAAAAAGAAAGGTGAAACAAATACTTCTTGCCATGCAGAAGGCTGAAGGGTCGGCAAAGAGTAACCTGATGCAAACATATGAAAGAAGTCTGCTCTAGACTCCGGTTGTTTCCTGCGAAAGCTCGAACTGTCTCACGGGATTCGGAACGTTGGAAGCATTGTCTGACGCGTCTGTTTCCGCGACCAGAGAAGAGAAGCGGTTTTGGAAAGATGAAGATGAAAATAGAGATCTATATTGATCCCGTGATGAAGATCTTCCTTCTACATAGCAGAAAAGCATGTACTCGATTCGGAATAGTTGAATATGAATGCCCGTACGAAAATCTCCATTAAGAAATTTTTTGCGCCTTACTAAATCAAATTCACTTTTTCTGCATTGCGTTGATGGTTGATTGATACATGTTTATCATGTAACCGTCAGGTTTATTTGTCAGTAGTATAACTAATAAAACAATTGCACCTCTTATCGAAAGGGTATTCTATATGTGCAAAGTTAAGAAAAAGGGATCAACAGAGTTCTAATAATGCGTTAAACATATTGACGCCGTTTTGAGACGACGGAAACGTATGTTTTCGTTTTAAAATTCTGAGTTCTGATATTGAAACCTCATGTAATATCAGTCATATCTACTGAAACGCAGTGTTGAGTTAAATATGTACTCAATGAGTAAGTATTTATTCATAGTGAGTACTTACCTAAGTACTCTGGACTTAGCTGCCAAAACTGTAATTCCCGCTTATTACCATTCATCACCATTGACATTTGTTAGTTGGAGGTATTATTAGTCCATAGTTGAAATCGGGTTAAAGTTGTATGCTGTATTTTCGCTGTGAAATTAACACATATAGTGCTTATTCATTCCATTTAAAGTATTGTTTATTATATGCTATTTGCTTTTAATGATTGACTGGGGTTACTAAGGCGCCAGACCGTCCAATTCAGAATCGAGAAGTGTCTGACTCCAGCCTCTGTAGGACTACTCATCTTTGTTTTTTTGATCTAGTCAAATGAGTAACATTTTATGGAAAGGAAGCAGGAGACTATACATTATGCTATCCACACCGTCGTAGACATTCCTTCTAATGCTAGACACTCCTAACCGATGGAAGGAGATGCAGATAAGCACTTAACTGTCAGCTTTATGCGAAGAAGAGCAAAACATTTTCCCTGTAAAAGTGTAAAGAACACGGTCTTTCAATGATTTTAAACATTTCCTGCTTACTGAATGTTATTGAACAGTCAAGATAAAATATTTTTGAATCGTCAATTTATCGAATAAATTATATAATACTTGAAAATCGTGCGTGCCATACTGTATGAGCGAAACAGCTGTCTCATGCGAAAGTTAATCATTGGAAGTAAATGACATTCCTTACGTTACGACAGTAGCTTCAATAATTGTTTGCTATGATACCGAAAATTTCCTAAATAGAAAATGTTTCTGCATGGTCTGTTTTTGGCCTTGTGTCCTAAATATTAGTACATGCGTGGTTAATTTAGAGTTTACGAATCAATAAGTGTTTATGTTACAGAATAATTTAATGTCATTAAGATATTCGTTATTTGTTTTACATCCACGTAACTTGATTCATTTAATCTATTTGTTTAGAAAGAACGTTTTTGTTAAGTTAGTCGTTTCTTGCTCTAAGTTCTGTTTTTGTGTATAGAAGATATTCTCTTTATTTGTGTAGATTTCTCGATTTGTGTCTGAAAGGTAATGAGCTATAAATCATTAAGTTCGAATATTCTTTGAGATATGAGATGTTTTGTTTTGTTTTGATGTTCATACAGAAAAATGGCATAAAATCACGTTTTATTGGAAACGAATTTTCTGCAGTAGACAAAGACAGCTGTCTGATTACAGTGAAAACTTCAAACTTTCGTTGCAATTTCATCATTGCGTGTCATGATACCTTAACTGATGTATGCAGTAAAACCATTCAGTGTCTTTTTGAATGTCACCGATGCTCTTAAATATAATTTAGAATGTAAAATGTGCAAAACTTGAATGTTTTTTCGCCCGTGGTTGTTCTCCTATTTACCGTATGCACTCGCAACTTTAGTAGGCATGGCATCAGTCGGTTGCGCACCATACAAACTGGTCGACATCGGGGCCAACCTGACCAGCCGGTGTTTCCGTAACAAAGAGTTTGACGAGGTTATCGACAGGGCCAAAGAATCGGGTAAGGTTTTATGACTGATTTGTAACCTCTTCATATTATTTTGTAAGAAAAAAATATTGAGGGGCACAGTATACGAGAAGAAGTACTAGATCCAAGCTTATTGCTTATAATCAGTGAAAAGTTAGGTCTCAACAATGCGTGGAAAATCAGCAAATACGCATAAAACAGAAAATGAGTTCGGTTCGAAAATTCAGAATTGGCCAACCTAGCGAATCAGTCGAAAGCTGTGATTACACGGTTAAATTGTCTGCTTGACTGGAAGGTTGAACTGGGCGAAGTGGAATATGTGGTATCACATTCAAGTTTTCAGAGGTGCATTTAACAACCCTGAAACAGGACCTGGAATAATCCATGACAAGTTCGATTAACGTTGAAACATAAAGAAAATCTTATACAGATTTATATTTGAACCTTGGTTTAGAATTTGTTTTCTGTTAGTCACCTCCGATCAACACCAGGACAGGCATTCCATAGTGCTTCTGAAAGAAAATAATTTAAATTACAATTTAAACATCTGAAACCGTAAGACGTCAGTTTCGATGACTGCTTCTTATTCTGCATGGAGGCAGACGTGTCAGGCAGGCTTTCAGCGTTCTCGATCCTGTACCAGCGTCTGAGCTTTGGCAGAAAATAACCCTAGTCTGAAGCAGAGTCCTTACATGCCTTGGGTCATTCTTATGATCATTGCCCTTGATCCAGATCCAAATCGTTCTTGGCCTCCCTGGGATCTTCGGAGGGTCGGTTGAAAAAGCAGTAGCTGTTTCGCTTTCCTTTCTGGAAGGATTTGCGAAACGTGCCAAAACCATCACAATTGTGACTTCTCAATCGCGAGAATTAGCAGTTGTACACCAAAGCTCTAAACATGGAATTAGCTATTAATATGAACATATAATTTAAGATTATTCTAAGATATTATAGTCATTCAAGACAAGGTTAATCCATAGTATACCACTGTCCTCACCATTATTTAAAATATCATTCCACAGGTTCCGTAATTAATAAGACAGGCCGCCTGGAACAACGGTCCTGCATACAAACGAAAGAGATGATTAATTTCTTGAGCGAATGACTGAGTTGCAGTCTGGGAAACATTTAGCGATTTTAGTATCAGCATATAACCGAAAAAATTACTATGCTTTAGTCTGTATACCTGATCAACTTCCTAGTATTTCATCTGTGAAACATTTTTCAGTACTTATTTGTCGATTCACGTTTGAGGACATATTTATAGAAATTTAGTTTCATTGAACTCCGGCTAAATTCATCGTTGTATTAATCAATAATGGGCTTGCTTTAATGATTTGTGATTTACAAACTGTATTATAGCATGAAATATCCCCCGGCAACTAGTAGCCAGTAGGCGGTGCAGTACGCCGTGAAATCATGTCTTACAGGAATCATTCGTAATTTTACAGACTCGGCCGTGCAAGCAGCTTATGATGTCAAATATGAAATATACGATTTAGGAATTGCAAAGATAATCGTCACCGGAGGAAACAGCGAGTCATGCCGCGAGGCTCTGAGGTTGTCTCGATTGTATCCAGATTATTTGTTTTTCACAGCAGGTTTGAACTCCGAGAAGAATATAATATTTCTGTTTAATTCCTTAATGCAAGAAATTCAGGAATGCATCCACATAATGCCAAAGAATTTTCGCCTGATGTACTCGAGGAAATTGAACATATTGCCAAAGAGCCGGAGTGCGTGGCTATCGGCGAATGTGGCCTCGATTTTAAGCGCAATTTCTCACAGCCTGAGGATCAGCTGACAGCTTTTGACGCACAGGTTATCTACGATATCCCACTGATGATCATTCTGACGACAGGATAAATCTGTTTAGGTGAAATTAGCATGTCGAATTAAAAAGCCTTTGTTCGTCCACGAACGCGATGCTCATGAGCAACTTAAAGAGGTTCTGGTTAAGTACAAAGCTGATTTGCCGGATATTGTGATCCACTGTTTCACGGGTACTGCTGACGAGGCGAAGACTTATCTCGATCTGGGTTTTTACATAGGATTGACGGGTAAGCTGTAAGATAATGTTTGGTTTTTTATGGGTAATTTTCACTGCTGGCTAACGTTCAGATTGTCCATTTAGAGGGCTGGTGCCATGAATAGCTGGTAACAAAGGTAACCAAAGCAAAGAATTACATGTTGGAAGAAACTACGCCTAAAAGTTGCCTTTATGTAATACTTAAATAGTCTTACTAGCCTTGTAGTTTTGAATGAATGCCATGATTGGTGAGATAATTGACTAACGACTATTTAGGGAAATCAGATTTAAAAGGGATAATCTGACTACAACAGTGGCCGAAAGCGAGTTAGTGTCTCAAATATTCTAAGGCAAATTTGTCTAACGCAACTATACTCGAACAGTCAGATTGGATAGAAATGTTAAGCTTTACCGTCTGTATTAATCATTGAGAAAGTATTTCCATCGTGCCGCTTGCACTTTTATTCTTTTGATAATATGGTGCTCTGTACGTTCATTTCGCTGGAAGGTAGAGGTTTGGAAGCTCCAAGCTCAGTAAGAACCTTAGGCAGAGAAAGGGTTACTTTCTTTACTTTATTCTTTGCCTAGTATGAGTCAAATCCAGTTTATCCTCTCACAATGGTTCTATACTTTTCAACGAAGCGAGACGTTTCTAAAACTCCCTTATGACCTGTTTAGCTACGAGGCGCGTGGTTACACTGATATGCCGATGAAGTTCATCTTCGAATCAGGCTACGCTCTTGGGGACAGACTGATAGAAGAGGGTTGATGAAACTAATCATCTCTAAAAGTGCTTACATATATTTGTGTCAGGCAGGCACCATTATGGAGTTTTTCAACTTGCACAGTGGTTAAAATATTTGGAAACTTGCTCTGGATACCTGCTTCAGTAGAATCCTCTTCATTTTCGTCGTAAGTAGCGGACAGTGATCAGAGCAAGGGTGAATTACGCTGTGGCATGTACCCTTTCGCCAATTAACATAATCTTGAAGGCTTGCCATATTGACGCCTTTTTGAGAATATTATCTACGTTTTGTTTGACATTAGGTTGGGGATATATTTTGAATGTTAAGATCATCACTGAATCGTGGACCATCACTGAAAAACTTCGAACCAGGGTACAAGCTGCTGAAATGGGCTTTCTTAGACGAGTCGCGCGTCTCGACATGGTCCGGAATAGTGACATCCGGAAGAGCCTTGGAATACAGCCTTTGCTTCTCCAGATTAAGGAGTCACAGCTGCGATGGTTTGGGCTTGTGTTGCGAATGCCTCCAGAAAGGAAGGCTAAGCAACTGTTCCTTGCAAATCTGACCGGCAGAAAGCCCAGGGGACGGCCAAGATTAACCTGGTGCAAATATATAGGAGTCTGTTCCAAACTCCATATGTCTTTTGCCGAAGCTGACTCTGGCACAGAATCGGGAACGTTGGAAGCTGTCTGACGTGTCTGCCTCCGCGACCCGAAATGAGAAGCGGCGATGGAAGATGAAGATCATCACCCTGAACTGTTTGCGTAAATGGACCGTCTCTGGTTTCTGATGTTTGTCGTCTTCGCAGCTTTTCAACACTATAAAGCGTTTCTGCTATAAAGCGCCGATAACTGCATCATAGAGAGAACAGTTCTTCTCTAAACGTACATCTGCCACTGCTTGTTTGTTTTACCTTATTCAAATCAACTAGTAGATCGTTAATTTAATAACAAAAGGGACAGCCTGGTATTCTGTGTGGTCATCCACAGGGCCGTATTATCCAATGCGCGCTAAGACGAAATTTCACTTTGGCCCTCTTGATAATGGACTAAATGTCACCACGTTTTATAGACCATGAATTCAGTATAATAACTGATATTTTCTTTTTGCGGATAATTAATTTCTTAGGCTTCTTGTGGAAAGACCGGACCGAAGATGGCGTTCAATACGCTCTAAGGAACGGGCTGTTTCCAATGGAGCGACTGATGGTCGAAACTGATGCTCCATTCATGTTTCCTAATATCCAAGCAAAAAAGTTACCCGAGGACATAAAAGATCGACTTTCTGACCACGCCAGACAGTACCTCTTGAAGTACTGCAGTTTTCATCGCAACGAACCCTGTTCCTTGCCGGCTGTCACAGAGCTAGTAGCCGCTTTTATGAATGTACCCGTTGGCGAGTTAGCCTTTGCCACCACCAGAAATGCCGTCCAGGTATTTGGACTGACAACCCGTTTATAATCAATGTCATAGGTGTTTATCCTCACGCTAACTGGTGATGTAGTGCAATTGTACTAACAAAACTGAGTGATGTTTTTAGAATGCTGTTATTTTCAAGACATGCAACAATCTCCTGCTTATGGCATCCCTCTAAACAAACTATGACATTTATCCTGTGACGCATGCGAATGCAAATTTCCTGATACCTAAAAGCTAAGCATGTACCTGTTCATCAATTGAATCACATGCCATTTAAGCGAAAAACTTTGCTTCTGATTCCGTTACGCCGGTGTCAAAACTGACAGCCATTAAAACTCAGCCAAGCGTGTTGTCAAATGAAAACTTTATATTAAACATATCATAGACAAATAGCAAAGGAGCAAAAAGCAGATTTAAAGAGTAAAAATTTAGTCCCCATATAAGCTCTCAAAGGCTTGCTGGCTTATTTTTATATAGTGCTGTTTCTCAGCAGGCGTCATAGCACTTATTAAACTAGGGTCTTCGGTCAATTCGCTGAGAGCCACTTGTCGACCCTGAACCGTGACCTTAAGTTCTTGCTCTTCAACCTCTTCGAATTCATCACTCTCATCGCTAGCCACCTCAGCTCCAACGGTTAAAGACGATGTTGGCTTCATTTCGTTGACTAACAAAGTTTCGACTATATCATGCTTTGGTGACACAGATGCATCGACGATAGTGAAGCTCGGAATCGCATGAGCAGAAGCTTCGCTAACAGGCAGCATAGATGACCCGGTATTGGTGACGGTGCTGGCCTGCATCCACACCGGTAGTTCCTTTTGTTTCTGGATGTTTCGTGTCAGATGCCCGTCGGCCTTTTCCACGTTGATCACAAAGTTCTGCCTAGGTTGCATCTCCACTTCTTTCTTCATAGAGAAATTTGCCCCCATGAAGTTCCCGCCAGCATTCTTTTCACCCGTTTCTTCCGACTGCGATGATTTTGATACTCTCGACGGAGCTGGCTCCAATAAATGTGGTGCCAACTCCACGCCCTCCAGTTCCTGTAGTATCTGAAACAACGGCCACATCTGTTCGTTGAATTTCGCCAGACTTGATCTGCAAATAAAATGTCATAACAACTGACTACTGGTTAAGCCGCCTACCGGGTGACTTGTTTCTCGTTTGCCGTTTCGTCTTCTTCCACCACTCCGCGACAGTAAACACACTTCATCTGATTGCTGTCCCAAAGTATATCTGGAAGCAACGGCGTCAACCGTGGCAATCGTCAGAAGCTTAGTTAGCCAAAACTTACCTATTTCGAGATCTGAATACACTTTTTCGCATTTGGTACATTTGAACGAAGACCGACGAATATTTGACTTCTCCTCTGCTTCTAACTTCCTCCTTAAACAACAAGTTTTAAAATAACATTTTTAAAATTGGTGACATTGGCTTATCCTAATATGCAACAACAATTTTTTGCAGCAAGAGTTTGCTCCTACCATTGTTTCAGCTCCTGCAAAAATTTGGCAAATAGGAACAAACCTCATGCATCTAAAGCATGGGAAGAGAGAGAAGGAAATAATCGGACATTCCATCCCTTTAGGATGTGACGGCCTATTTTTGCCTCCTAACTATTTTTAAAACAACGTTTACCACAGCGGCAAGGTAACTATCAAACAAAGTACAAGAATGCATACTAAAATAAAGTAGAGTGGAGGAAATTTTTACAACTACTGTGAAACCGTACCAAAACGTCTCAAAAATAAGGCGATAAGGGCTATGAGAGCGATAGAATAATAAACCACCGCATTTAAACCTATTTGAAGGAGGATAGTTACAATTAGATTCAGAGCTAAATTACGGGCCTCCGTTTGTTAGACCTTCGAGTTAAACATGATAAAATATTGTATCGCTTATGCTCTGAAGAGACTCTGGCTCCAGGATTGGAAGATATATGCCGCGACAAACTGGGTAGATAGAACACTGTTCTTTGGAACCCTGTAAGGATTTACTGATTCATCCATTTATTCAGTTGCATCATTCGTTAATCCTTTCGGTTTGTGGATGGTAGCTACAGAGGAATTTTCAATGCGATGCACCTCAGTAAATCGACGATCATTGACACCGCAAAATGTGTGCTGCACATGTACTACTTGAATTGCCAAAACAGCGCAACGTCCGGTTACTTGTACCAAAACAGGCGGTGGAAAAGACAGAATTATTTTTCTTTACTGTATTCGTTGTTTCTTCTAAAAATCTCTATCCAGTTCCAGTTAAGACCGCCTTAGAACAATATTTCAGCATTTTCGGTCCTTCATAAATTAAATAAGCTCTATATAGCTAGATTCAATAAGCGAAAATGTCAACTATTCAGTCTGCTTGAGCCTGGCAATGCGAACAGTTACATTTGTGCGTCTCTTCTGAAGTATGCTAATCACGTGTCCAAAACTTTCCGTTAGTTTATTTTTTTAGTGAACTTGAAATACACTAGTGCTTAGCATAACATAAGTCACTTTATTAACCTTCACAAATCAACGATCTGAGAAAAACCTCATGGTCTGCTAATGATTTATCAATAACCAAGCGCCAAGCAAGATAAAATAAATATTCAAATTTAAGATACCTCATATGATCTAACTTGTACTTTAAAACGTTGATCAAAGCAGGATAATTTATGAAGTAGTAGTTGTGACGCACTGGCCGTCCTTCCACGCGCTGCTCAACTTCTTGCCTTTCTTTTATCAGCTTGTCACTTTTCAAAGTTATGAGAACCTACAAATAAGTTTCAGATGTTTTAGAAACTATTATTTAATAATTGAAGAGTAGATACAGTTACAACAAAACAGAGCTTGCACATGCATATCTAAAACATATAAGACGATAATATTCAAAAGAAAAAACGTTTCCGTCATCGGTACAAATACGTACCACAGTGAGAAGGTAGCCAACAATGGAACCACATGAACAGTACGATAAACTCAATTAAATTATGTTAGGTTTTAGTTATGCTGCCTTTGTCATCTAACGCACACTGAACAGCACCGTAGATCTGTAAATTTATGATGTCATGCTAATAAAAGTGGCCTCATTAATCTTAGGCAACGTTTGGTGCTTCGGCTTCGGTTATATTCTTTCTCAGAAGCAGAGCTGCCTCAACAAGGCGTTTCCAAATTTTGTTTTTCCTTCAATATTCAACAGTAAGTTGATCGTTCCCAGACAAGAAAGAAGTTTTGAGATGGACATATTTATATGCATTTGCAATCATAATTAAAATCGTTTCTTACGCGGGTGGACTAGACAGCTTGGTCGTTTGGCAGCAGAAGGAAAATGGTACCTGGAGCCGGAAATGGCGAGCTTGGAGGGAGAAACCTCGAAACCTTGAGGAACGGCGGCAGTGTAAAGGTCGGCGCGATTCGTCGCCGATTACTGGCAGGTCCAAGTGATTTGAACGAAATGTTTATAGTTATAACCGCAAGTGTCTTGCTTGTTACAGTAAACATTAAGAATTTCAACAACTGTTACACACATGCAACACTGCCTTACCGATCTAAGTTGCTTTGGATCGAACCTTAGCAGCTCCCGAAGTTCATCTTCTCTCATGCACACGTTACGAATGAGCAGGTCGAGCGTTACTCCTAAACGTTGTTTGGCAGTCAATCAAAACGAATAACATTCAGCAATTTAAGAGGGCAGAAAATAGCTGCTTTACTGATTTTAAGCATAGCTTTGTATATATTGATTGCAACACAAATACATGATCTGTCAATATTTCCATAATGCTAGAGAATGGTTCTTTTGGCAATTCTTTTTGTATGACACATGGAGCGGAATCACAGTAGAAACTTATAATTTGTAAAAGCATTTGACTGTAGCATCAGAGGATTTGTTAAGGCTTGTTGGTAAGATGGTCTATGCATTGCTTATCTGTGCCGTATTTAACAAAAGTATCTGTTAAATTGAAGTCAAGAAATATCTCATCAAATTTAAAAATAAAACATTAGCAACTATGCCGCTGAAGACAGAATCCGATTCATAAGTGTGAAGGGGCTACGCGACTAGCTGTTATAATTAGATCTTTGGAGAGCGGTAAAGGCGTCATATGCAAGTGCTACGACTGAATCGGTTTAAAATGGGCAAACATTTATATGCCTTGCAAGCTGTCCTTCTGTCAGGCGTTTTACTTATTTGAACTGTTGAGGAAGGATTGCTTTTCTTAGAACAATGCCAGTCTTACACGCTGCAAAATACACCGCCTCGTCAACAAGGCGTTGTCAGTAAAATGCGTTTAACAGATCTTAAGTAATTTCTGTTGGCACTGTAAACAGGAGGACAGCGGGAGTCATCTAATAATGTCATCTGACAGGTTCAGTGCTGCAGTGTGATAGCAACAAATCATTGAAATATAACCAGTTAACAAACATCTCGTTAACAAAGCTTATTTATTCTTCAGAACAGCTAACTGAGCTCCTCAAAACACGTATGGCAGAGGTGTCAAGCGGTCCAGCGCCGTAACGTGTTTGAACAGACCAGAGAAAAAGAGCTGCCCGCTTCTCAGATGTATGAATTTCATCACTGATTGCATCATCTCGGCATCCGTTGTCACCATGTGAATCATTGCTCCTGCAGCAATTTCGAAGCGTTGGCTTCTAAAATGTAGCTTTTTCTCATGCTCGACGTTGTTGGCAAGCACATAGTAAAGGAATTTCCAGTTATGAGTTTCGCAGAATCTCTGAAATTCTAATATTCGTTTGTTTATTTCACAACGCCTGCTATCCGTCATAATTGAAGACAGCATCAAATGTAAACCCTGGTTCAAAGTATTAATGCTTCCATTTCCTGCCCAAAACGCTTCCATTGTTCATCTTCACAGTCCGCTGTTATGTTCCGGTTGGGAAGGTGGCAGCATCAATAGGTCTTTCCAACGATCCCCGTGCTTAATAAATCGGTCAAGATCACGAACCCAATTCAAACGTGAGATACGGTCAACTGATACGGCAAATACGCCTGATCCATCCGGGCCTAAGTCTGTCCGATGACCGCCTGTCACGCGGCTTTGTGAGCCTGTCCTGAGTAATCCTGACTACGCTCCCATTCCTCGCAATTATGATCTCGAGCTGAGGCAGGAGCGCTCAAGAACGAGGTTGTTTGAAACTGCAAGCCCTGTGGAGCCTCGCCATTCCAGCCATCCTTCGAAAGTACCACATTTCTATGGTTGGATCCTCGATGGTACTCTTTCGGTGAATTCCAGCACTCACAATCATATGCGAGTAGTTGTGCAGAAAGACTTGAATACAGGTAGCACGGTAATGCTATTCAGCTTCATTCAACATCACACACCAGTTCAGCAACCACATTACTACTCTGGCCTGACTGATTCACTAATGAGTACTACCATGAGATGCCTAATCATCCGTACTTGCTATTCTGATTATTTGTAGTGCGCAGTGAAGAACCCCTTCTGAAAGCAGAAACGCCTCACCTAAAACTATTGCAAGAAAATCATTACCGGATCATTCTTACCGCGACTGTTAACTGCGAAACTTAGAAAATACTTACCATGTTCGACACCGTAGAATCCACGCACCACGTACCGCGCAAGTTTCTGCATGCTGTTCGGAATTTCGTCAACCAACGTTTTGTCCTGTGCAGCCATTGCGCAAGGGATAGCAAAATTTTAGAAGATTCTAAGTCTGAAATATAATGAATAAAAAATATACAGAAATAAAATTGCTATTCCGCGGATCATCGAGGATGACATTGTAATCGTTTACTTGATGACATTGTAATCACTGAAATACGTGGTTTAGTTTTCTCGTAGTTTTGAATAAAAACGTGCAACGCTTCGCCAATATCAGCTGAAAATATACGAACGATACGCAAAATAAACCCGGTTCTTTGTAAATCGTCGTACAGAAGTTCGATTATAATAGTTTTATTTGTTTTGATTTATTTATTTATCGTTGCACTCCTGCCTACGCTTATTTTACCTGCGCTTATACGCAGCATTTATTCATCTTGTTCAAGCAGCAAACTTTATAGTTAGAGAATTTCGTCTGTGGCGACCCTATCATTATTTAAATTGACAGTGAAAAAACGATTTATTAATTGTGTAACAGCAACGGATATGGAGCCTTGGATGAATTTTGTAACCGTCGTAATGCTTGTCTCTTGTACACATACATGACATGTAATCTTTACTTTCATGTAGATTATGGCGCGGCGTGATCTCCATCAAAATATCATCAGTCGCTATGTGGCTACTACGACATGTAGTTCTTTACTTTCTTACTTAGCTTTACTCATTTATCTATTTCAGAAGTTTAAAACGAAAGCAGCTGCGGCCGAGATTCAAAGCTATGACTCGTCGATCATGAGCCCGATGTTCTACCGGCTGACCAATCTTTTCCAATAGCTCCTCGATTATATCCATCCTCACCGCACCAACTGATGACCTGCTGAAATGGATATCACACGATCAGATACCCTTGTAATAGCATAAGCCCAAACGCTGGATGAATTAGTAAAGGTAATAAACTAAATAAGAGAAGAATTGAAAGTTTGCATACCAGTTTTCTTAACAGTTTTGAGAGGAATTACCCATTACCCTTCTCGTAGTCACATTTCAAATTACAGGGCTGACCTGCGTTTAAATGGTCATTTAGCGTTCTTATTTCCTTCCACTAAAATTTCCACAAATAAATCTTCATTGCTTCTCTGAGTCTTCTAATTCTTCCTCACACAAAGAAATACAGACCGAAACGGTGGCCATGAGATTATCTGCCTGATACTTCTACTGAATTATGCTGTCTAATAAATAGTATTTTTCAGCATCGAAAGAGTTAATTACGAAATTACTTTATGCGCATGTTTGTATTTCTTGAGATTATCACCTTGATCCATTTGCATAAGCAGTTCGTCTCTGATTTATGAGGTCCGATGTATCCGTAGCTTTTTAACAATTTTGCTATAAGTGCACGAGTTGAACAAATTGATATGTTACGGCTCTAATACAAAACCTATAATCAGAAAAAATTTATGAAACTCTAAATCTGCGAAAACAGATATAAAATCACAATACAAATCATAAGACAGCAACGAAACTTGCATGAATTATTCAAAATAACCCTCCAAGGACCGTCGCGCCAGTAAAGTTACAAGATAAAATGATTTTCATGAATTATTCTGATACAAACAGATAACATTATAACGAAACTGCCATGTGTTCGAGTAGCAATTATCCCTTGCTAAATGGCGATTAATCGAACGAAATTAATGTTATGCGTGCTAATGAAATAAACTGCTACTAATAAACTGTTCGACTCCACAATATCAACTGGTAATTATAAAGGAAATTAAACAGTTCACTCAGGCGGTGATAGGTATACTTGAAACAGCATCGAAAACGATTGATCTATATACACGTCTCCTGGTTTTGTACATGCCATTTAGTGCGAACAACATAAGGATTTTTAAGTCAGTCAATCAATATCCTTACACCTAAAGAAGTCCCGTGAAACAAGCTGAAACGACGGCGCTTATCAATCATCTGGCTTCCATATTGTTTCCATTGTATGTAACTAAACGGCATTTAATACTGTTTTCATCATGATAATGGGTAATGTCATTTCTGGTTCTGTGGGATGATAATGCAATTTCTGAATCCTTCTAAGATTCTAATTTATAAATGACACTCTGTTTGGGTCATTAACTGATTATCAGATGAGTCAAGAAGCATTCCATCCGAAAATCTCATGCATTACACAGTATGGCCGTCAGGCCCGAACATTGTGCCATGATTGCTCCGAAACACCATACTTTCCTAGCGTTAGTTGGTCAACAATTTCGCGTCATTTCTTCAGCTGGTCGCTCTGGAGCACGGTGTAGATGGTTTTACTTTTATATGCTTATTATTCTTTAAGCGATACCAGCCGAGAACAGGGCAGAAAATCGTCGATCCGATATGAACTGCTTTCCCAATTGAATGAAGAGCTAAGTTAATTTCGCAGAGGTGAGATCTGACCAATCCATATATTATTCTCGCCACTGCAATTAATGAATGTGAAGGCTTAGCCAAAATTTCAAATTTGTCAGATGTTCGACAGTAAAGAGGCGAAGATAATTGTTTTCATCATTTTTTAATAGGAATCCATGTAACAATGCCTACGACTTCGGCCCATTGTCACAGTGAATTATCAGTTTCAATCATTCTCATTCTATGTTAAGGTGTAACGAGATTTCCAGTGAAATATATTAAGTGAGCCGAGCATTCCGTCGAATCAGTAAGTCGCGAACCATTTACACACTGGTATGAAAAGACAGTTGTAATCTAGAATACATGAAATATATTAATGGAATTTCTTTACACATGGTGCATTCTGACTTGGTATCTTACCTATTAGCCGTCCGTGGTTTGCCTCAAACTGGCATCCACTGCTGCACTTAAAAAGTTTTTTGAGGTATCAGACTTAACTTAACGTTGAGGTATCCTTAACCGATTAAAAAAATACTTAAATGTTCGTCCAGCAAATGTAGAAGCTATCTCCGAACAATGTAATAGTTTAGTCTATTGCATTGCATACCCCTTTAATTGTGTTATGTTTCCTCATTGCTTAGTGCCAAACTACATTGGCTGTACATAATATTGAAGTATCTCCTTCATTCATTTCCGTTGTCATGCGTAGTAAAGTGCCAGAGACAAATTCAAGTGTTGAATGTCTTGTCTTTCGCAATTACTAATGCATTTTCGAACGCATGCCACTGGATATCAGATGTAGTTTATGTTTGATAATTTGTCCCTTTTCTATCCCTACTTTTTGGCAAAATTCTGCGTTACCTCTATTTGATGTGTTTGATGAAGGAAACGATTTCGGTACTTATTCAAATTACATCTACAAAAGCGATTAACATATTGCTGCGACACGGCTAATGCTACGATTGGAACAACACTGGCAGCTATTGTTTTGGCGGATTTATGCACAATGTTAAACTGAAAAATTGGGGTAGTTGTTATCCTTTTCAAGTAGTAAGACCGGATATTTCATCATTTTGAAGCAGCATGTATGTTAGGTCCTTAAGAATCTTCTGGAATCATGGACTTAAGCCGATAATTGAACTGCAAGCAATTGCATCCAAAAATTACAATTTAGTGGATGACACGGAACAGAAGAAGAATTAATTCCATGCCACTACATCGACTCGGGATTTTATTTTGCTGCGGCTCAAAGACAATGGCAACATATAATACCATTTTCTGAGACGCGCGAACCGCTCACCTTTTATGATAATTTTAACTCGCTCGCTATGAACTGAATGGAATCTCCATCTCGTTTTGTCAGTGGATTTTCTGCGGCTATCTATCTGTCCGGTTTCATGACTACTTTCCAGCAAACCTTCAGACGTTCGAACTTTTTCGTACAAAAGTCGTTGTACACGACAACACTTTGCCTTCCCAAACAATAGAAAGTATAATGTCACCATCAATATAACATTTATGAACTTTAACTCTAACACGGTGTCATTCACTATCATGGAAATTTCACATAAAATGTTTATCTTTTGCAGGCAAAAATATTTGACCGTTTGTATAATATCGCAAATTTACTGAATTATCCTTTAATGAATGTAGTGCGTCACTGCATCTATAATTCATATTTAATAATTTTATGTTGAAGTGCATAAAAGTTCATCAAGAAAAAAATGTGATAAATTGGACTACTGACCTCTACGACTGTTTCGGCAATGTTCTCAATGGCCTTCTGCGAGACTTTACGCGGGACTCAACATGCCCACCCAACGCATGAACGAAGCACTCAGTATTTTGTTATTAATGGCCACAGAAAGTGCCTGTTTTAAAATTTTCAATAATACCATAAATGGATTAAACTGCCAATTCAGCATCAGCCGTTCTCACGAGCACCAAAAATCCATTTTGTTAAAGAGTAACAAATGTTGACAACAGTTCCAATCAATAGGATTAAAAAGTAATTTTTAGGCGTCTTATGTAGCAAAGAACCTGCAAATTGTGCCTCCAATATT